TGAATTTGCCTTAATTGTTGTGATCACAACAACCCCCCGGGACGGATGAGTTCCTAAAAACCGTTAGGGTGCTTTCACACCTGCCCTGTTTGGTTCGGTTCAATCAAACTCAAGTTCATTTCCCCTTCAAGTGTGGTTCGTTTGGGCAGGTGTGAACACACATTTGGTTCCGCACCAAAACAACCGGACCAAGACCTTCTTGAAGAGATGGCACATCCAATGCATCAAAACATTGTTTTCTAGTTGGAGCCGCGCCTCGTTTTCAAACTGTATGGTTTGACTAAAATGAACAATGACAGCAATATAGTCCACGATGAGCAGCGCTAAAATCAACCTGCGTAGTTGTCCCTCCATTGTGACATTATAAAGTGTCACATTTATCTTGCAAGTGTACTCTTCTTCAACGTTTGCTTTACTTCCTGGATTTTTCCCACATGGAAATTCTGACCAATCAAGAGCAGCTTTCTCACACAAGGCATTTGATCTGGTCCTCTTGTAAATGCTGCCGTGATTCGGACCAAAGCAAGTGAACTCTAGGTCTGAGAGCGCCCTGAGTTAACTGCCTTTAGCTTCATTTTTATTGTGCGGCCGTGAGTGCAGTATCGATCTTCTCATCTAAGTCTCAGCAAGAAAGTGTGTAAAGGCATTTCCCAAAATGTGAAACTATTGCTTTTAATGGCTTACAGTTGCAAAGGGAAACATGAAGAGACAGGGGGACCAACAATTTTTTAAATTATCTGCAGACCAGATAGATCCAGAAGTAAAGTTAAAGACATGTGATATGTCTTCACAATCATCTTTGCGTGCAGAAACCAGGGAAATGACCAGGGTTGTGCAGAACCACTGAGGAATCCGTTATCCAAGATTAACATGGTTGTTGACCTGGATTCAAAGAGAAGGAAACAAAAAGAGAGAAACAGAGACCTCGGGACATTCATTATTAAAAACAGCCTGCTAAGATGCATGACGACACCTGGTAAAAAGACTGAGGAGACAGGAGAGGCGGTACTGAAGAACAGAGAGACAATGAGAGGAGAGGAAGAAGCGAGATAGTGGGTCAGCCTGGCCGAACGCTGACCTCAGGTAACCTGGGTATGTGTGGGCTGCAGGACGACTCTCTACTGTCTGCCAACACACATATCTTGAGTGAAAACAGAACTTTCTTTATCTGCATCTCCATGTGACTGAAGAGTTCGTAGTATTAGTATCATTGTTAGTGTTAGTATTAGTGTCGGTATTGTGTGGCAAGCCGTAATTAGTATCACTGAGGTTTCTTTATTTATCATGGCATGAGGAACAATGTCATTAGTCATCAAACAGTATCGATCCAACGCTTCCTGGTGGTGTATTAACAAAACATTTGTCATTCTCTTTGTTGACTCTGAATTCTGAACGTTTGTATTTTAAAGGTATACCGTGCAGGAACTGTTGGCTACTGTTTGTAAACTGTATTGCCAGAGAAAGTGAAAGCCAACTGCTTCGTGTTTCGCCTGCTAAATTTGTGTTTTTCAGTACTGTGTCCGCAACTTTCATAGCTTCCTCTTTGATGCATGCTTCTTATAGTCTGGAACCTTGTTGCTACCTTTTTATTAAGTCCCGACCTCACCTGCAAGTGTGCCCAGCATAAAATTTAGAAAATGCAGGCAGAGGGCAAAGGCTTTTGCAGATAAATAGCCCACCACACACTTTTAGAGAGTCATAAGTGATGATTTAGGGGAATTGCCTTTCGTGAGTCTTTTTTTTTTTTAAGAAACTTCTACAAAGTGTACCTTTAGATATTGTGATTTTATGTAAAACATTTGTCCATGTATGAAAGCGATGGTGCGATTCTTTCACTGCTGAACAGCAGACAATTCGGTTGCCAAAGTCAATAACAGCTCCCTGGTGATGGAGAAAAGAAGGATTGACTTAAGAACATGTGTTCATATTTTAATGCACATCACCAGAGTTTCTACAGCTGCTTGTAATCTCGCTGACACAGGTGAGCAATCAAAGTGTTTCTCAAGGATACTTTATTTTAGGGAGTACCAGGTATAAAACCTGCAGGCCTTCCAGGGTGGCCTGTCTCATCTGTGTCTCACCCTTCAGCCGCACAAAGACATGCAGAACGCTCTTGGGAACCGTCTTCAGAATCCCACAAAACCCACTGGGAACCAAGGCAGTGCACATCAACTTCCCAGAGAGGTTATTCATCAGGCCTGCATACCTAATTCAAGCATACAAATATATCTGGGCCTTCTGGTCAGACCACCTGACCTTCGACGCCATAGTAATGGTCTGCCTGACAGAGCCAAAACACACAGCCTGAGCAGTCCCATGGGCCTGTCTGTGTTTTGTCAAACATGCACACACACACACACACACACACACACACACACACACACACACAAATTCACACACATGTGTACAGGGTTAAACAAACACACACATATAAGTACACTAATGCACATGCACACACACACATTCTCAGTATGTGATAAGAGCTGTAGCCCTTAACCTTCTGAGACAGAGGCAGGGCTTTAAGTGCAGACAGGATTCCAAGCGCTCACTCTATCACTCGTGTGTGTTTGCATGTGAAACATGGACAGCATGTGCATATATGTGCATGCACCAGTGTCAGTTTCGGCTGAGACTTTTTTCTATTCCTCTCTGACAAACCAGTCTGACTACACACACCAGACACAAACACACACACACGGCCAAGTGTGCTAAAGCAGAGAGGTGATTTGGGAAAGATTTCTCACGGCCAGAGTGCCCCGAGCTACACTGAATAAATACAGATTAATGATTGGTTGAGAGGGCGGAAGTGCATTCCACAGAGTTAGCCACTGATCGCAGCCACCTCAAATAATGTGCACACACACATAGTACATGCTGCAAGATCGCTATCTCCTCTAATAACTTTGTTAGAAATTACAAGTCAGAAATTATTCACTCCCACTGCACTCACTGATTACTCAGAGACACACGGGCTATTGACTTCCACTGATTTAGGTATAAAGGTCATCTGCAGTAAAACACAATAAAGATCATAACATTATGAGACTCTGTAACATCAGACAAAAACACAGTAGCAAATCAGACACTGTATACCTGCACTGATCTCATAAATTCTGCACCCTGAGCAGCTACAGGACACTTAAAAGCTCAGTTTACAACAACAGTCCCGCTGTCTTTCTTGGTAAGTTCAGACTTTACCTTTAAGTGATCAGTGGGGCAACATTAGAAGCAAAGTCATCTAATAACTAACAATCAGTTGAGATAAGAAAATAGGTTGTGCTTCATTTTGCGTATCTGTCTACACACATGTCACATCATGGTGTAAACCCCTTTTAAGATGAATTGTACGAGACAGACCAGATGAGCTGGATGCCTCGCAGAGCTCCACTGCTCCTGGTTTTCATCAGCATGCAGACTGAACATTGCAACAGCTACTGACTTTGTGTGTGTGTGTGTGTGTGTGTGTGTGCGCACAGTAAGTGTGTGCAAGCCTGCACGTAAATCCTCAGGCAGGCACATTCCCAAGCACTGCTTGTATATCACTTGTCAGAAGTTTCAGATTTCATGCTAAAAGAATTGATCGCCTTTCAGCAGCCCAACAATAACTCGGCCAAGTCATAACTTAATCCAGTGATTAACAGAGGATTCACTGATCACTGATTCACGTTTGCAAAGCACAAACAGGAAGGAAAACGAAAAATGAAATCGAAGCGGCATATCAATTAGGGGAAGTTCTTATCTGTCACTTCAGTCTTACGGTTCTGAAACTCTCTGCATTCCACTGGCGTGCATTTATTGCAGTACTTTATGTAGAACATTATTAAGTTAAGTTTTTAAGACTGCGTCAGAGACAGTGGAGGGGGAGGTATTTGTATCCCCTACTTGAGTAAAAGTGGCGATACCAAAATGTAAAAGTACAAATAAAAGTCTTGCAATCAATATTTTATTACAGTAAGTAAAATGTTATCTGTCAACTGCATTTGTATTACAAGACTTGAAGTTCTCATTGTGTCAAATGGATTGGATTATTTTTCTGCTTAAAGGAGCTGTGTGCAAATTCAGAATGTGTGTTGTAATCTGAGCTTCTCTGTTAACTGTTGTGGGAGATGGTCTGACCACGTGCGCGTGTTAGTGCATGTGAGTCCTTGTGAGAGTGTCCCACTGGCTAGCTAATGCCGCTCTGCACTGCACTCATGTGACAGTTACTGCTGATATTGGGATGGCATTGCTGCAGACGTGAAGCGCCGGTTCGCCCCAGGAAACAAGGTTTGCTCTGTCAGCACTGTTGCCATTGTTAGCGCTGTTTATAGGGTTAGTGCTGTTAGCTGCTAGCCACCTCCATGTTGAGAACTGGGCACAGACAATCCCGCCCCACACTCTGAAGGCCTAAACACACTAGCATTGAACACTGCTCGTAAAAAAATATGCCCCTATTATTTTCAATGTACAACCCCACACTGGTCGCAACAAGACACATGTCGGCACTCCTGGACAGCCTCGCTGCCCCTGGAATTAAATGAAGCCCCCCCCTCGCTCTCTGCTTGTACATACCAGCTCCTATGGCAGCTCGACTCCTCTCCTCACTACTGATGCATACAGAGCAGTCTATTGCCGTTTCTGTGTCTAATGTGTGAAAAAGAATGAAAGAGGAGAGACTCACAACCCACAATCCCGTCATTATAAAGACAATGGCCCACCTGGTGAGTCATAGCTCTGGAGACTGGCTCTCCAGGTGAGAAATCAAGTTTAATTAGTGGCTGTCCACACATGATTTTAAGCTAATGCCGAGGTGCAGATCTTTCAGTAAAAGTAGTAATAACCTTTTGTGGCCGTCTGTTGACCATAGATATATATACATAGATGCTGCACCCTGGCTTGTGGGCTGTGTCAATACCGCCGCCATCTTGCCTAGGTGCTCTGACCGGTTCAGACCCGCGTCAGACTCAGCAAAAATGCCACATTTTTGCTCTGCATTTGGGTGTACGAATGACAGAAGTGTTAAAACCAAGCAGAAGGGAATAACATTCCACAGGTAAGAAGTTGTTTTACAATATTTTACTGTTACGAACATGTTTAATGAGATATATATCTCAAAAAGTGATCTTTCTTTTAAGCTAATCAAGTAAAGTAACTGTCCTGATCTGGTCCTAATGCCAAATTAAGCTAACGCTATGTCACACAACTTAAAGAAAAAAGGTTAACATTTATATAATATTACTTATAAAATTATGATGCTTTGTCAAACAGCTATGGTGTATGTGTTATTCCAAATTGTCAACTATCTGTTTCATGGCACCAACATGACATAACGCAGTATAACGATAGTAACAGTTAACTTGTAGCCTGAATTGTAACTACAAATTATGTGGAACTGCGTTTTTCTGACACACTTATTTTGTGTGTAGTTTCCCAAAAAACACAGATAGGAGACGGGCATGGGTAGCAGCAGTGAGGAGAAAGGACTTTGTCCCGAGTGACTCCTCAGTCATCTGCAGCTGTCACTTCAGACCTGAGGACTTCGACAGGACTGGGCAGACTGTCCGTTTAAGTTTACGGAGTGACTCCCTCTGTATTATATTTTTGTAAATATGACCTAATAATGTAAACAGTTCTGTGTCCAGGCTCCCATGAGCACTGTGGTGTTATACATATGAGATTAAAGCAAAATGTTGTGTAAACATGCAGCTCTAAGTCATTTATTTTCACTTAGAAAACCAACATTTGTTAATCAGAATGTGTAACTACACTGCAGCTCGGCACAACCCTGCTGATACACTATTATTTGCTCATTGTGTGACTTAAAATGTGAATAAACATTTATAATCAAAATTAATAAATGACATCATGGTGGGCATTGTACATCTAGTAAGAAAAAAGAATATTTATTACATGGGGAAAGTTTAGTTTAAATGTGTTGTAGAACTATCACTGTTACTTTATCTACATAAGATCAAATATTTTGGTATGAAAAGCTGCATTTTTTATTTAACCAAGTATCCTGTATCATAACTACATGTCTGATGATTGTAACAAAGCAAACCGCATGAAAATCGGTTGAGAATTCAGCGAGTAATGATGATTTTAATCATAAATAGTCTCCTGCCTCAACAGACATACATGCATTAGGCAGCGCAGCTCCACCTGGGCAAGATGGCGGCCGCGTTGACGTATCGCTCCAATGAGCAGCGCTGTTGAATGCGGCATCTACATATATATATCTATGGTCTGTTGACGAGCTGCAGTGGAACTTGTCCAGCGTGTGCTAAGGGCAGCACTTTGTGGCATGGTTGTGTTTTCAGCTTGAATCATAGACATGCACAACTCTAAGCTGCCTTTTTTAATTGGTCAAGATGGAGCTAATTTTAACTACTTAAACTGTTTGGTAGTTGTTTTTTTTATCTCTAGCAAGTTTTGTATGAATATCATATTTTATTATGCTTATATTTTGTATGAACAATCTGCACACATAACTTGTAACAACAGCTTTCAAATAAATTTCACAATGTCTGCACAGAGACCGTCATCCTAAAAAGAGTGACAGCATCAATCATCTCTGCAACACAACATTATTTGGAGGACTTGTTGTTTGCACAATATGTATAAAGCAGCTCCAAACAGAAATGCTGTTCTCATGCACTGTGTGTGCTTGCACATACGAAAAGTTATGCACTACAATTTGTATGTAACCCACAAAATCATTAGCCAGTAATTCATATATGACCCATGAAACTGGGAAGGCTTAAGCTGATGAAATGCATTGACGGCAGTAAAGAAGGAAGTAGGTAAGGGCGGTGGACGGCTCACAGAGCACAGGACTTTCCACTTCAGTACTTTCCCCCGGGAGACTGGTGTTTGAAACCGTGTGAAATCAAGTGAAGTTATTTTAATTATGTTTTAAAGGGAAATTTCGGTTTATTTCAACCTGTCTCCTATAGTACTAAATTTGTTTCAAGTGACTAGTGACATAAAAATAATAGTTAGCATGTTAGCCGTTAGCCTAGATACAGCCAGGGCGCATAGTAGCGTCAGACCTGTTAAAACATAAGTGAACGGGCAACCTTCAAGTGCAAAGTTAGTCCACTAAACAAGCTTTTTTTCCACAAAGACCGCCTCATATCGTTAGGATAAATGTCAGAGAACATATAGAAAACGACATGTAAACGTGTTGTCTTACCTTACCGGTGTGCTGCCATGTTTGTTTACCATTTAGCTCTGCTTTCCAAAGCGCGGCCGAAATATATCTGGCGAGCTCTAGATAAAGCCCAGCTGGATACTACTCCAGGTGGAGGTGTCTCGTCCTCGGTCATATCCAGACCTTGAAAATAAAGCTGCAACTGGTCCCATTCCTTGCAACAGAGGCATTCCTCTTCTGTGGGCACTGGGGCACAGCATTCACAGGTACACCACCAATCTCCAGAGCTATGCAGCCTTGCAGCAGCCATTCCTCCTCTCTCGTCCTCTACCTGTTGCGCCTCTCTCTCTCTCCTCCTCCGTTCTTCAATTTCACGAAGCTCTTCATCAGTGTATTCTGGCTCAAATAAATAAGGGCGGCCATCAAACTCTGCAAAATCAAATTCCTCCTCCACAAAGTTGAAGTCTGGCAAAAAGTCAGCCATTATTCTATAAATCTTTCATAAAAAAAATGAATGAACTTTTCAGGCTACTGTCCGGATCTGCCTTCCAGCTGTTGCTGCTTGTTCTTGCGACGCGAGATTTCAGGCACGGTATGAGATCGCTGCTTGTTCTCGCGATATTTCGTACACAGTACCTTACTGTATTTGAGCAGTTAGTTTCCACCACTGGTCCGAGAAAAGTCCGCCCAGCTTTGGTGTTTGATTTGAAACTGCATGTGTTTGTGTGTGTTTGACTGCATGATAGTGAGAGGTGTCGCTGTCATTGCATCTACTGCCTGTTTATACTATACACACTGCATATCGCACTGACACGGCCTTGATTACATTGGATTATGACTTATCTATGCTCTTTATCTTTACTAAGTGCCAGAGCATTTACAGAACACGAGTGGAGTAGCGGTAATATTCCCTTGGAGCAGTGGGCATGTCAAATCCCTATTTAGCCCGTTATAATGACAAAGCAGTTGCTATTCCTGATCTGCATTGGTGGCCAGTTATAGTGTGTGTTCCTGCTGTTAGACAGAACCACTTGTCCCAACTACTGTTTTCAAGTTCATTTTACCAGGAGACAAAGAGTCCATTTATCTAGAGGGAGACAGGAAAGAGGAGGGGAGAGACAGTGAAGGGTGGGAGACAGAGACAGAGAGATAGAGAGGAAGGGCTGAAAGCTGGATGGAGAGTGAAGGAAGGAGAAGGAGGAGGAGGAGAGAGAGACAACCGACAGAAGAACTTTCCAAAACAGCAGATCCTGGAATGTTGGTGGAAGGTGCCACATAGCTCCAAATATTTGTTGCTCGGTTGGCACGGCAACAGGACAGCCAACACGTTTATTAGCTAATCCGCACAATGATACCAGAGAGTCAGTGAGAGGAAACACCAAGGACTGTGAGATGGGAAAAAAGTATATCATTTAGAAAAGAAGTGTGTTGAACAATAAAAGGGGGAAAAAATCAGAGAATGAGATTCACTGTTTCATTGTTGACTTTGCGTTATGAAGCAGAGACACGTGCCAACACACACACACACACACACACACACACACACACACTCTGACAGCTACAGGTAGACACAGCAGGGAGTGGGGTATTAGAGTCAGCTACTGTCACTCAGCTATGTACTGCTGCTTCCTCCCTTCAGCCTCGCCCAAACTAGTGTCAAACATACACACACACACACACACACACACACACACACACGCATAATGTCTGCCATTGGTCTCTGGCACTAAAGTGTACAGGACACCTATCGCAGCGAAAATGAAACAGGACGCAAGTACCGTTTATTTAACCAGAAGTTATCCTGTGCTGAGTTTCTATGGTTAGTGGCATTCTGCAGGTCACAGGCTCCCATGAAAACTAACACTAAAAATGAGTCTATGGTGACTAATGTGTGCCAACTCTGATGCAGCTGTGTAGATCACATTAGTCAAGTAGACATGCCTTTATAACTGATGTCTGCTTGTGCTACTGTTGGCTGTCCTCACCGAGAATGATAATTTAATGAAGGATTAGAACACTGACAGCCAATTAAAAACCACCTGAATTTAAAGGCCGTCACAGCTGAAGTGCACAGTGTAAACATTGTTGTCATTATAATTATCATTACAGTCATGGGGCGGCACGGTGGTGCAGTGTATGGCATTGTCACCTCACAGCAAGAGGGTTCCTGGTTTGAACCCAGGGTGGGAGGTTTGAATCCTGGGGTGGGGAAGGCCTTCTGTGCAGAGTTGGCATGTTCTCTCCGTATCAGCGTGGGTTTTCTCCAGGTACACTATATAATGACGAAAACTGTGTGTGTGTCTGTTCCATGTTTTTCTCCTCACTGACTTGGTCAATCCATGTGAAATTTGGCACAGTGGTAGAGGGTCATGGGAGGATGCCAATGAAGCAATATTACATCAATTGGCCAAAGGGGGGCGCTATAGCAACCCATTGAAATTGCAAACTTTGAATGGGCATATCTCATGCCAGACATGAAACTTTGCACAGAGATGCCTCTCCTCATGAGGAACACATTTGCCTCAAGAACCCATAACTTGTGCTTATATAGATTTTCCGCCATTTTGAATTTTTTGAAAAACACTTCAAATGGATCTCTTCCTAGGAAGTTTGAGCGATCTGCATGAAACTGGGTGAACATAATCTAGGGACCAATATCTAAAGTTCCCTCTTGGCAAAAGTTGGAAAACTTACTAAAACTGAGCTTCTATAAGGCAATGAATATTGCGGAGGGCGTGGCTCATCACATAAAGGTGTATAACATCTCAAGGGTTTCACCCATCACCACGCAACTTTGTAGGCATATGACCACACATAATCTGAGGGGACCCCTCCATTATTGACCCCATCAAACAAAATGGGGGCGCTAGAGAGCTCATTTCTTATCTAGGCCTAACCGCCATATGGATTTTTACTAAACTTGGTAGATATGTAGAACAGGACGCCTCAAGGTGACTGGAGAAATTTAACTCTAATTGGCAACTGGGTGGCGCTATAACAACAGAAAAATGCTTCAAAATGGCTAAAATGCGACCGATCGCTGTGGCTCCCCCTGTGGACCAATGTTGGTGTTGTTTTCTAATGTTTGGTATGACTAAGTCATGGTATGGTATGCTGTACATAATCACGGAAACTGTCAGTGTGTCATTCTGTCAGTCAGTCATTCTGTCTGTCCCACGTTTTTCTACTCACTGACGTGGTCAATCTATGTGAAACTGCACATAGGCATTGAGGACTGGCATAGGTAGAAGGTGACAAAGCTACCAATGGCTATGGACTAGTAAATGTGAATGTGAGTATGAATGGTTGTCTCTATGTGTCAGTCCTGTGATTGTCTGGTGACCTGTCCAGGGTGTGCTCCACCTTTCGCCCAATGTCAGCTGGGATAGGCTCCACCCCCCTCAC